AATAATAAATAAAGAAAGAAGCATTAAAAAATGATGATAAATTCTCACATAGAATATAGTAAAATCTAATAATTTTTCTGAAGAAATTTTTAAGTTTTTAAATTAATATTTAAATTATTATTACTATTATTTTAGTTTTAAAAATCATTATTTTGTTAAAAATATTAATTAAAAAATGTGAAAATTTTTTAATATAAGTTTACTTAGTATGCTTTTAATAAATAACTAGATATTAATCAACAAATATATTTATTTAAAAATAATTGAATATAAGGAGTGTAGATAAATAAATATCATTAATTGAGAAATTTAAATTGAAGTTAAAAAGTATGAAGAGTCAGAGTACATTACTGATAATGAATTTGAAGAGAATGATGAGAGTATTGATGTAAAGAGGAACATTTTGAAGATAATCATCATCATCATCATCATTATCATCATTATCATTTTTAGAGAAAATGATAATAAGGATGAATTTCAAAATGAAAATTGTGAGAAAGTAAAAAAAAAAATTGAATGTAAATTAATGCAAGAAAATTGTAAAATTTTTTGAATAAATTGATTAAATTTCTTGTTAAAATGCAAAATAAATTTATTCTTAATCTTTGTGTTAAGTTGTATTAAATTTTTCTCTTTTTTTTTTTCCTTCTTATTGGAATGCAATTTCCAGACTGAAGACCTATACATTTTCACTGTCGTCCGTCCATCTGTCTGTTCTTCGTTAATTTCGAGAACAGAGTTAGACAAAAATCGAGGCCGAATATTAAAATTGATTAACAATGGTGATTTTGTTTTTTAATTAAAAGATGATTAAATATTTCATTATAATTGTATTTTCTTAAAATTAATATATTCATATCATTCTCTAAACAATTAATGAATTAAAAAAACACACATAAAAATAAGCACATTCATACCCTACAATAAATTAATGAGTCCATTAATAAATGAATTATGAACATTGTATAATAATACTACTGTATTTTATTATATTATGAAATCATAATTAACTAAAAAAAAATTGAATTAACAAATTACATTTTATCTATTCCTTTTCATTTATAAACTTAAGCATGTTCCAACACAGGAGGAAAGAAAAAAAAAGAGGGGGAGAACTTTATTAAATTATATATTATAATAATATAAATGAAACTGCAAATATTCAACAGGAGACACTTTTAATCACTACACTTATATTTATTTGTTACATCTGTATAATTGAATTATATACATGGTGGCCCAAAAATCAGTTAAGTACATTTAGTTTTTTTTTAAGACGTTATAATTTAATTTGTGCATCAGACGTTTATAATTAATAAAAACTTTCGAATAAACAGCAATTTATCTTTAACAGCGGTTAACTGACTTTTGGATCACCTTATAATAAAATATCCCTGTTTTATAATTAGTATCTAGAGAATATTTTCTACTAGATTTTAAAAATTTAACTGCTTTATTAAGAATATTAAAGTGAAGAGATTACTTCGAAATTGAATTAATGTAACATTAATAAATGTTATACTAAGGCTGTACTTCTTAAAATATTTAATATATATATACATCTGTAATATAATATGTAATTTTTTAACTGTTGTAAATGATTGTTATTTTAAAATACTTTACAGGAAACACACATTTACCATGATATATAATTAAAGTAAAAAAGAAATGTCACTTTTAATGACATTGTATTACTTAGCTACAATTTTATGGCTTCATTTCTTTGATGGTAATCGTTATAAACTTTAGTATGGCAACATTAACGCATTAATATTAATGAGCTTACGTTTCATTAAATTCACCTGCTATCGCGATGTAGTATCTTTATTAAAGAATTTTGATGACTTAACACAATCTTTAGTTGTTTAGAGACACGTTACAAAGATTTTAAAAAGAAAAATCTTTAGAAAATAATAAGAAGAAAAAAAAACAAAAATTTTCGTTATAAATGAAAGCTCCATACTACACCTATTGACAACTCATCATAATCAACGTTAAAACTGTTGCTGGAACCTTGTTACAAGTTGGAAGTAATAAAAGAGTGGGTAATCCTCTCCAACATCCGACAACATCTGGCATTTTATAGCAGGATTCACTCATTCTATTAATAATTTCAAGTGAATAATTTGATAATTTAGATCAAAATAATATAATTTTCGATAATTTTAAGTCATTGTACTCATAAACAATGATGATTTCTACGGTTGAAATAAAAATATGAAAGAAATTCTTCTCATGTTTTCTCTTCTTTCTTATTGAAAACCATAAAGAAATACGTTCGAAATTCTTGAAAATTTAATAAAATATTTTCATATACATTTATTATTTAAGAAAATGTATAACTTAAACATAAATATATATATGTATTTTTTTTTATTCATGAAAAACCAAGTCGTGTAGATATAAAGAGAAATCTTTACTAGTTTACTATTAAGTAAAGTGCTAGCTAAAATCAAAACGTTAAAATATATATATATTCAGGTGTATATTCAATATATAAATAGATATATCTTATGATTTTTTATATATATTTATCATGAATATGAATGCATGAAAGTTGTGTAAAAGATGAGAAAATAAGAAAAATTTGAGAGAGCGAAAAGAATATTTTTCTAAAATGCGAATCGAAAATTCCAAAATAAAAAAAAAAGTATAAATAAACTCGGGAATATTCGATATGGAAAACGAATTGAAGGTAAAACTGCGAAAAACACGAATTTCCTTAAGCTATTTCAACGATGGAATACAATCGTCAGATGAAGTCATTGATGCCTTTCGGGTATTTCGTTTCTCTTTGTTGTTGTTGTACTTTATCAACTGAGGAAAAAAAAGTTTTTTTTTTTTTATTATTAAAAAAAATTCTTTAACGATTTATAATTAAATTATAACTGCAAATATTTATCTATTTTCTCAAACACGTAAATCAATAAGCAATTATACATACGTGAGGCGAGGAAAAAAACAAAATTGAGAGAGATTCGATTTGATAGTGTTAATGATTTATAGACTGTTCTTATATCTGATTTAAGATAGTCATCGAAGCATTATTTTTATTCTATTCTTTTAAAGTTTGATTATTATCTTAAATATTTTTCCTATATATAGTTTTTTTTTTCCTTCTTCTGTTATCAATTTCTTAAAGCATTATCGCATTTAAAGAAAGCTATTAATAGTAACAATTTCAATTTCTTCTAGTTTTTTTTTTCGCTTCACATCTGTACTTTTATACCAGTTCTAAAACTGAATAGTGTGCACAATATTTTACTGGGGATACTTGTTTAATCCTTAGCTTTTCAATACGGGGTAGAGATTGTAAAACAGAGCTTTTGCTTTATTTTTTTTTATTTTTTTCTTCTTTTTCTTTTACTTAGTTCTTTCTCCAATTCTGCACAATAGTAGTCCATTATAGTGTTTATTGACAGTTTAAATTTTATGGTTCTTCAACGTTGTAGTTCCTTTTTACGAGTTTCTTTGGACAATTTATAGAAAAAGAAATCACGTGTTTTGAGAACACTAACTTTAAGTGAAAGAGAAATAGAATACAATTGAAAAGAATTTTCTTAAAACTTTTTGACTATTTCCTAAAAGTTTGATCTCATCGACTTCATGTACCATTTGACTCTCGATGCTTAAAGAAGAAAGTTAACTCGACTCCATCACCTAGAATTCAAACGTAATTCCGTATAATTTTCAATAAAATTTTATTTATTTCTCAATTTTTTAAAAGTAAAAAAAATTACTATGACATCGTCACAATTCTGGAATGCAATTTTTAATTTATTTAATTTAAAATATATGCTCTGAAATCACTAGTGTCTTGCCCCTGTACATCATACTTTTCCTGATAACAACACAGTCGTGCCGGTCATCTATATACTGTAACTCCTTTCTGAGGAGAATGTTTGAGTTGAAATCACGTGATTTCCTGTCTATATCGTAAGTTAATCAGGAAGTACAGACAGACAGTAAGAATTTATAGGTCTACAATTTTTTTTTCTTTTCAAATTGCAGCTAAATAATTTAAATCCGAAATTTAAAGCCTATACTTTAATAATTTAACATGATTCGTCCATCAAACAATATAAAGCTTCTATTAATAAATTTATAAATTGTAATATAATCCAAAAATTTATTAATAATTAACTACATAATTAAAAGTATCGAATGGCAAATATTTGTATGTATCTAGTATTTGGTATACTGTATACTATGATGCTAGAGTAACGAAGTACAGTACAACGCTGTTTATCATTATTTGAACGTAATACATTAAGAGTTAAATGAATTAATTGAGAATCGTATTTCGTGAAACTATTTAGTTAATAAATATAATAGTACATTCTTGATAATTAATTATTCAATAAACATCTTAACAAGAATATAACGTAGTATTAAAACACGATTCTTAGTTTCATTTATTGAATAAATCTTTAAGAATGTTACTTATAAAATATCGACAATATAATGATAAATTGTTAACTTAAAAAGTATATTTATTGTATTTACAGTATATATATTTTTTATATGGTATAAAAGTCTACTAAGTTTTGAGAAATATGTCTTTGCAGATATTGTTTATTGTTTACAATTTCTGAAGATAGTAAAAAAAATCTATGATTTTTGTAGTTATTCATTATAAGTCATATGCCATGGTTACGACCACATATATCATTTTTTATGACTTCTCATGTGAAACAAAGGCCCTTCGTCACTACAAACTATCTACTAACACTATACACTTTCCTTCATAAGGTATACTGTTTTCAACATAAGTTTCCTATTTATAATAAAGATTAAAATAGAATATTTTAACTGTTTATCACTAATATTTATCGTGTTTATAATAAATTACTGTATATATATATACTTACTCTTTTCTTGCCCCAATATGATTCCTTGACCATCTTCTCTTTTCCATTTAATTTCTGGTTGAGGATTCCCAGTAGCTCGGCATGTCAAAGTCACGTTTGTATTCTCCATTACAGTCATATTTTTACTTGTCAACTCATTCAGAAATTCCGGTGCCACTGCATAAAAATAAAACAAAACAAAACATCTATTATGTGTCACATTGTTGACAGTATTGTTCTATGGTCTATGTAACAAGGATGTTGTTTAAAATATGAGTGTGACGTTTCGGATTTTTTTGACATGATATGTGCTGATACAATGGAATGTTATCTATCCGCTTGTCATCTGAATGTACAGAAATATCCATTCTTTGAATTTCTTTTTTACTTTTGCAAATGTTAGTAGTATCTGTGGCTTTCTGTTATTCGTTTTTTTCTTGTAGATATCTTCTATTTTCTTTTAGTGGATCCAATAGGATCTACTAAAAGAAAATAAATAAACTTAAAAGATGACTCTACATGTTTTAATATTTAATAAAGTAGCTTTGATATAATCTAGGAAACAAAATGATATTTTTAAAAATTTATGCAGACTTAAATCATTTATTATTAATTATATCAATAAATTTATTTCTGAAATATTTTTAATTATAAAATACGTTAATAAAATTAACTTTATTTATTATTAAAACTTAACTATACATTTAAAGATTTATACAGTAAAACTTGTGTAAGCCGGAACTGCAGGCATTTCCGTTTTGGACAGGTTTTACTGTATAATTGTATATCTAATTATCAAAATATTTTAATAATTTTTAAAATTTATTATT